AGCCCACATGAAGAAATGCTCGCAAACATCAGGCATTCCAGAAAAATTGGCAAGAGCTGATCCTCCAGCAATTTCTCAAGGCTGTGAATTGCATGGGAAGAAATTGACTATCTTTCTACCACAGTGTCATTGGTAGATTTACACCAGCAGAGAAATATCTTTGGACTACTGTTGCTATGTGCCAGTGAGTTACCTGCACCTCATAGCAACCCTACGTGCAACAGCTCTGAACTCTGAACTCTATCCTGGGCCAGTCTCACTGTCCCTGACATATGCCCTCCTTTACCCTAGTCAGTGTCAATCCATCTTATCTGACATCTTCCATCCTTGCGCTGTCCCGCCACCCTTTCAAGCATCATGTCCTGCTCCAGGTCTCTCCTGGAACATGCCCAAAGTATGTGAGATGGGGCTTCAGAATCCTTGCCTCCAAGGAGCAGCCTGGTTCCACTCAGTGGGACTGACCCATGTATATGCAGCTAATGTCTGACAGATGTCATGCCTGTATATTTACTTATATTTGCTGCAAATAAACCATAAACACAGGGAGAAAATAAATACAAGGGTGAAAATTACTTAGCCATAACCAAATGGATGACTAGGCCCAAGGCTGAGGATCAGAGTCTCAGGAGACACCAAGGTCAACTGACACAACACAGTCCACAAAGACAGCATGCGACCTACTTTGGTGAGTATTTACTGGGTCTTAAAAGCTTGTTGGTGGCCATCTCAGGTACAGTTTTGGCCTCTCTTGGTATGCCAGTGTGTGTAGGTGATCACGGGAACAAGTAGTCCAGGAGAATAGTGGGCTGTATGAACACCAGTCTCCATCACTGCAAGGAGAGAAGGATGACATGGTGGCCAGCTACCACGGACAACCCCTCAGGAAAGGACCACAACAGGTTCCTAAATAGGGCGCTCTGACAACTTGGGGGTAAGGAGCTGCCCTCAACCGAAGGGCACGAGGTGAGAATTAGCTGCTCTGTGGGGAAAAGATGGGCAATCTCCTCCCATGCTATTTACAGCATTTGAAAACCCATGGGAGGGTCTGCAATGAGTTGACTGCTACCCAATGGCACATAATAATGACAGATAGACCAGGTGTGCTGGCCTGAGACAAGGAACTCTACAGAGCTGAGCCCTTAGTGGCCCTTCAGGCCTGGAACTGAGCACACACCTATGGCTCGGTTCCAGTCAGAAAGGCCAGAAAGTTGAACTAACGATTACACTAGGGAGTTACTCTCCCTAGACCTACCCTACAAGACCAAAAGGTCACCATTTGCCAAGAGACCAGGGGCATTAAGGGGCAGGGAAGAAGGGGGAACACACAGGGAGGAAAGGGGGTGTTACCCAAAAGGGTCCTGGGCTCTGCATAACACAAACACCCACCCAGGACTGTGAGAGAAAATTACTCCGCAGCAATGGGTGTGAGGAAGGGCAGCCCAGCTCTGCAGTGTGTCTGCTCTCCTGTAGGTGAATCCAGGTCATTGACACCACAGACCAGGAGGGTGTCCATCACAGTTAATCTCAGAGATCAGTTTAAAGAATCTTGATCTACAGGCAGTGTTGTGAGACATCGAATCAGAACCAAACCACAGCTAACCCTCCAGCAGCTTTGGTTTGTTTTTTTTATGGTCTCATATTTTCTTCCCACCCCCAGCCCAGCCTGCAATGCACTCCTTATTGCAGATTGTCATATATATATAAACCCTAACAATATATTCCTTCCAGTCCTTCCCCTCATCTGTTTAATGCAGTGTTCATTATATATCCACTCTTCTCATATTCTCTCCCCAAGTCTGTCCTATAATAGCATTGTTATGTAGTTGTCCTTTCGTGACTGAAATATTTTACTCAGCATAATGTCCTCCAGGCTCTCCCATGTTGTGTAAAATTTTGAGTTGTTTTCAATGCTGCATAATATTCCATTGTTGAATGCACCATAGTTTCCCTATTCATTTGTTTGTTGAGCATTTGGGTTACTTCCATCTCTTTGTTAATGTGAATAACACAGCAATAAACATGGGTGTGCACCTGTGGGTTTTCAAAGGCGGTAAATTGCATGAGAGGAGACTGTCCATCTTTTCCTCCCCCCAGGAGCAGCTAGTGGATGTGAACCACATGCCTTTGTGATTACAGTGCAGCTTTTTACCACTAGGCCACCAGAGCTCCCTAGCCACAATGTTACAAGTCGTATAAGACCTCATAACACTGATACACATAGAGAACATTGTTTTTAAGTGCTATGAGTCAAGCCAACTAATAGTGACCTTATGAACAAAAGATCTAAATCCTGTTCTGTAACTATCATCATTTCTCTACTTTCATAGTTTCCAGAGGCATGTTGTATAGGAAGTGGACAACACTCCTGCCTGCTTCCAAGTCTGGGAGCTTCATCACTGTCCGCTAAGAGTAACCATGATGGCAGTGGCACAATGTCCAGTGTCTCAGCAACCCCAAGTTACCTGGTACAGCAAACTGACTGACCAGTGCTGTACCCCTCAGAAGAATATTCATCCCAAACATATAATTAACACCAGACCTGAGGGCTGCAGACTAGAAGGCTCAACCTCCTTTTAAATACAAAGGCCAGCCCACCAGGTCCTAGTTGACTCTAAACAAGAGGCTTTCAGCCCACAGCTCATTGTTATGTTAATGTCACAGGGCATGATGCTGAGTGAAATTAGTCAAATACAATTTTAAGGACAAACAATAAATTTGACTACAGGCAAGTCCTAGCATGTCTTAACAAGACCGTCTTAACATGTGTGTTAACACTATGTCTATTTACATAAAGAAATTTTTCAAATGGCACTAAATAGTCCTGAAAACAATTTGTAGTATGTTTGAGGTCACCTGGGACCTTGCCTACAGAGAGATTAGTAATCTGAATTTTTTAAAAAAACCAAAAACACAAACACATTTGCAGCTTCATGAGGTGTGTTAGTTAGGTGTTGTGCCACAAACCAAAAGATAGGAGGTTTGAATCCACTAGCTGCTTCTGGGAGAAGATGGGCAATCTTGTCCTGTAAAGATTCACCCCCTCAGAAACCCATGAGAGTCACCAGGAGGCAGAACTCCCTCAATGGCAGCAGATCTCAGATGCAGTAACCCCCCCCCCCCCCCCCCCCGTAACCGCCCATCACCAATGCCACAGATCAAGCTGTGTATGAGCTGAAGAGAAAACCCATTTGCTCTATGAACTTCCACCCAAACAAAAATTAGCGTCTTTTTCCTTCTCCTGTTGTGTGGTTCATCTTCCTTTGATTAATGCCATCCTCTGAAACACAAAAGGTTTTCATGTCTGTGATGGGACTATATAATTTTTAAATAAAATATTTTGACACAGTATCTTTTGTGTAGTAAACTTACTTCTTAAAGGCTAGAAAAGATGACAAATAGCAATAAAAACAATCTCAACTTTCACATTGAACAGCCTTGGGTTCTTCTTTCTGCTTCCACCTCCCACCCATTCTCTTCTACTCCCTCCCCTGCTGGCCGTCATCAACCTTTGAGTTTCAACTTCTGCAGAGCACAGCCTTTCAGCTCTTTGTCATCCCACCACCAAATGTGACCCTGGTCTAGCCACTGATACTTAGAAGAGATGGTTTTCTGTGCACTTGGAATTTTCAGGCCTGGCAGAAGATGTCTGGATTTTGTCCATGACCTTGGTCTAGCACTCAAGATTAACTTCAGGCAGCTCTTTGTTCATTGAGACCCACAGCCTCAGCTCCAGACAGCGGACAACTTCATCAGGGTGATATCCATCCATGTGGTAGACAGCTGTCAACCGAGGACAATGGCTAGCTCTGGCGAGAATTTATAAAGAGAATTGGCCTCAAGGAGGGAGAGAATGACCAACACCAACACCATGAGTCACCTGCACATGGAGACACAGCAGGACCCTCCTAGCTCATTGAAATGAAGATTTTTAGTTAGGTCTCCAAGAACCTGTGTTGAGCTTATGAGATGATTAAGTTCTGGCGATTCTGATGTGGAATATTCCAGAAGTTGAGTTCCAGAGACACTAAGATCCTGGATGCCATCAACAACTATGGACTATCCTCTACTGGCTATAGAGCCTGGAGAGTCAGCTCCCACCATCCATTCCAGAGTACAGGAGCACCCTGGGGCTTGGGGCAGAGCTCTCCACTGGCAGTGGGAGCTGAGCTATGTGGTTTCTGAGGAATGCCACATGGACAGCAGAGATCTCTGGACACAGTGTGCCCTGCGAAGGTGGAGGGTGTGGGGTTGTTCTGGATCAGGGGTGGGGTCTAGACTGGAGTGGGTTGGGGAGGCCAGATGTTGGCTGACATTGAGAAAATCAGTGAGATCGATCAGAAGGTCATCTGTGTGATCATCATTGTCGCCCAGGACAGGGGCAGAGGGTGGTGGGCTCAGAAATGCTCCCAGCACTGGGTCAGGGATCCCCAGAAGTGTGGGGCGATTGCACTGGCACATTGTGATGAGACACAGCGAGGCAGTCTGGAAGCTCGGAGCAGGGAGACAGAGGCTGAGATTTCCCTGTCTGTCTGTCCTCACTTTGACCCGGTCAGCAGCTGGCACTTGTGCGCACGAGAAAGGCTAGCTGTTGTGGGTGGGGAAAGAAAGTCCCTGCGGAGTCTCTCTGCGGCCCACAGAGGTCCCAGGTCCCAGGTCAGGCCTCGGCCCCACCTAGACCTGCCTTCTCCCTGACTGCTCAGGAGAAAGGAGCAGGGCTGAGGCCGCGCCTCCGCAGTGCCCCCTGGTGGCCACCTGCCATCACGCACCTGCTGTCCCGCGTTCACTAGGTCCCGCCCCCTGGTGGCAGGTCCCAGGACAGCTGGTGCAACAGGGGAAGCTCACGAGCAGGGAAGGGGTGTCCTGTGCGCAGGCACACTGAAGCCTCGGGTTTGGGGGCGCCCCTCCGCAGTCTCCCAACCTCCAGGCCCGGAGCCCTCCGTGCCCCAACCCTGGAAACAAACGACGAGCCAAGCGCAGCAGCAGGAGATTCTCCTCTCCCTTCAGCAAGACAAGGCGCCCCACACCAGCAGGGCCAGGGGGGGCAGCAGGAGACGCAGCAGCGGGGGGCCCGCGGCCTGATTTATCTCACAATGACAGTTGCAAGCTTCTGGCCTGGAGGGCGCTTTGGGGGTGTCACCGCTGGGGGCTGGGCAGTCCAGCCACTTAGGCCCCATGGGGCGGGGGGAGTCCGGATCGGCCACGACGCTGCCCTTGGCAAAGCGCCAGTAATGGACGCCCTTGAAGAAGTAGGTGTCACCTGCGGGCCAAGGGGACACTTAAAAGGTTCTGCCCACTTCAGGCCCTCCTTCCCACCTGAGTCTCTCAAGGGCTACCCCGAGCTCCCCAGGATTGCCTCCGAGCCCCAGATGCAGAGATCCCAGCCACTCCGCAGGGACCCCTGCGCCCTCACCTGCGTTGCTGATGGTGACGTCGTCGGGGGCGAGGGGCGCCCCCTCCCAGAGGCTGAGGGAGCGCGGGTAGCCAGGGTCCGGACTGGCCGCAGCCTCGTCAAACCGCCAGTACTGCTGGCCGCGGACCAGGTAGGTCTTCCCATTCAGCGGCCACGAGAACACGGCGTCCACCTGCTCGCCCGCGGGCAGCCCAAGCTGGGTCAGCGGCAGTGCAGAGCCTTCCAGACGCCGGTCCTTAAACACCCAGAACCGGGAGCCTGGCAGGAGACAACAGCGGGTCAGGGGGATGCTCCTACGTGCCCCCAACACCGGCTCATCCCATCACTCACCGCTGAAGAGGAGGATGCGGCCATCCTGGTGTCGGGTGTATGCAGCCTGGATGACCTTCACCTGAGCGGGCAGCCCCTCCCAGAAACGGTGCAGGCGCGCAGGTCTGGGGGACACCAGCTGTCCCGAGGGCTGGACACGCCAGAACCAGGGGCCTTGGAGGAAGAAGAGGTAGCACTGGGGCCACAGCGTGAAGCCAGAGTCAGCAAGTCCCATACACACACACACACACACACACACACACACACACACATCCCAGTTTATGCAGTCACTTGGAGGAAAGGCCTGACAATCTATTATGAAAGCGAAAGGCAAGTCTGGGTGCTCGTTTCCGTGCTGAGACCGAAGCCACCTGACAGCAACTGGTCTGATTTGTTGTTGTTGTTGTTATGTGCCGTTGAGTCGCTTGTAGCCCTAAACAGCCCTAAACTCTGCTCTTTCCTGTGCCAATCGCACTGTCTCTGATACACCCATCCCAATTTCCCCAGTCACTGAATCAATCCACCTCATAGAGGGCCGTCCCCTCCTGCGGTGTCCCTCCACCCTCCCAAGCATGATGTCCTTCTCCAAGGACTGGTCTCTCCTTACAGCATGTCCAAAGTATGTTAGATGGAGCCTCAGAATCCTTGCCTCAAAGGAACCAACCAGTTTAACCCTTTCCAGGATGAATCTGTTTGTTTTCCTAGCAGTCCATGGCACCCTCAATACTCTTCTCCAGCACCACAGCTCAAAGGCATCAATTCTCCTTCTATCCTCCTTAGTCGCTGTCCAACTATCTGATGCATAGCAAGTGATAGCAAAGACCATGGCCTGTATCAGACACACCTTAGTCTCCAGAGAGACACCATTGCTCTTCAGTACTTTGGAGAGGTCCCTAAGAGCAGACTTTCCCATGGCAATGCGCCTTTTAATTTCCTGGCTACTAGTGCCGAGAGTGTTGACTGTGGAGCCAAGCAAACTAAAGCTGTAAACAGTCTCAATTTCTTCACCATCCATCCTGATGCTTCCAGTGGTGAGAATCTTTGTCTTCTTGACCTCGATCCATATTGGAGGCTGCAGTCCTTGACCCTCTGCAGAAAGCGCTTCAGGTCCTCCTCAGTTTCAGCAAGCAGGGTTGTGTCATCTGCATAACGCAGATTGTTCATAGATCGTCCACCAATCCTGACACCACAATTCTCCTCATAGAGCCCAGCCTCCCGGATAATCTGTTCTGCATACATGTTGAAAAGGTATGGGGACAGGACACATCCCTGGCATACGCTCTTCCCAATTTTGAACCATGCAGTGTTTCCTTGCTCTGTTCTGATGACTGCCTCTTGGTTCAAGTATAGGTTTTGCATTAGCACGATCAAGTGTTCTGGGATTCACATTCTTGGAGTCAGCCACAGTTTGTTATGATCCACACAGTCAAACACCTTTGCATAATCAATGAAACACAGATAGACATTCCTCTGGTATTCCCTGCTTTCAGCTAAGATCCATCTAACATCAGCTACAATATCCCTAGTACCACGACCCCTTCTAAACCCAGCCTGGACTTCTGGCAGTTCTCTGCTGATGTGCTAGTCCAGTCATTTTTGGATAATCTTGCTTGCATGTGAAATCAACGATATTGTTCTATAGTTTCTACACTCTGTTAGGTCACCCTTCTTTGGAATGGGAACAAATATAGACCTTGAAACCCTCCGCCCACTTCCCCAGGTCTGATTTGGGGGATTATTTTCCCCAAAATGTGTGGCTAAGACGAGATGTGGCTCCTCTACGTGGGCAATGGGGACAAATATAGACCTTGAAACCCTCCGCCCACTTCCCCAGGTCTGATTTGGGGGATTATCTTCCCCAAAATGTGTGGCTAAGATGAGATGTGGCTCCTCTACGTGGGCAATGGGGAACTCACCTGGGTGAAGGACAAGTCGAGCAGGGTGACTGGAGGATCCTGGTTTGCTTAGTACCCCGTGGTTTTAGTACCAAAAGTTCCCTGACCAGGATGCCCCACAGGTGCAAGACCATCTTGCCACCATTTCTGCCCAAATCACTCACCTTTGAAGAAGAAGGTTTCACCTCGGATGTTGGCAATAGCATCAAAATTGCCATCACAACGATCAGGCACAGGGGACGAAGGGCTATGGAAGCAAAGGGTCAGTGAGCAGAGAGGGGTTAGGGGCTCCTGGTCTCCTCATTTCCTTTCAAGATTGTCCCATGAGGCTGTGACTCTGACTGCCCCCCACCTTGTGTCACTGGGCCAGCGATAATGATAGGGAGCTGACATCATACAACCAGGAGAGGGAAGGACTCACCTGTCCGGGGGCAGCAGACTAGGCTGTGGAGGAGGGGCCAAGGGCTTTCTGGTGGGCTCCAGGTGTGGGGTGTGGGGTCCTTTGCCTGCAGGGAGAGCCGAGGAGCTGGGGTTCCATGGGCCCTGCTGCAGCTCAGAGGTCCACCTGCAGCCAGTGGCCCACCCATCCCCCACGCATACCGTAGAGTTGCTGCAGCCCATCGCGGTCATCATGGGGCAGCCGGTACTTGCTGGGGTGGCCCACTGTGCCCTGGTAGAAAGGCCTCATAATGGAGTCGGGTGCTGAGGAGTGGCCCAGGCCCAGGGCGTGGCCAAACTCATGGACAGCCACAGCAAAGAGGTCTGTCCCCTCACCATCTAGGGAGGGAGAGAAGAGCAGCTGGTTGGGGCCACACTGGGGACAGGTGGTCAGGAACAGCCTAGCCTCCGCTCATGCATCCCTGGGACACTTCAGCGGTCATGCATTCACTGACTCACTCACTCTGAACAAATGAATGAATTAATTTATTGAATGAATATAAAAACTTTAGGGCGTTTTGCTGCTAACCCAAAGATCAAGCCTCTCTCTGGCACTTAGAATCTATCATTAACACCACAACAAGATAAAGGTAAATAATCCAGTAGAAAAATGGGCACAGGATATGAACAGACACTTCACCGAAGAAGACATTCAGACGGCCAACAAACACATGGAGAAATGTTCAAAATCCCTAGCTCTAAGAGAGATGCAAATTAAAACAACTATGAGATATCATCTCACCCCAGACAGAATAGCAAAATTTAACATAACAGCAAGCAACAAATACTGGCGAGTTTGTGGAGAAACTGGAACCCTTATTCATTGTTGGTGGGAGTTTAAAATGGTGCAACCACTGTGGAAGGCGGTATGGCACTTTCTCAAAAAGTTACAAATAGATATACCATTTGACCCAATAATTCCACTACTGGGAATATATCCCAAAGAGACCATTAACTGACATCCAAGCAGTTATATGCACACCCATGTTTACTGCAGCTTTGTTCACAATAGCAAGGAGTTGGAAACAACCTAAGTGCCCATCAACAAATGAATGGATAGAGAAGCTGTGGTATATTCACACAATGGAATACTATGCTGCACTGAAAAACAAGGAATTCATGCAATATTATTCAAAATGAATGGGTGACCCTGGAGGCCATTATGCTGAGTGAAGTATCTCACTCACAAAAAGACAAAGACTGCATGGTGCGACTGTTGTAAAACATCAGGGTTGGGGAGAGATTGAGAAAGATGGGTTCAATAATGTATACTGCATTGAAACAGATGAGGGAGAAAACTGTTTAAAAGGGATATGTGATTAGGTATTTTTGTCATGACAGGTGTCTAGAGTGAAGGCTGCATAGTGGAGTGGACCTGGGGGAGGGTTTGTAAAACAATGAAAGAATTTGTCTTTTACTTTTCCAAGAGGGTAGTGTACTGGGGGGAGAGTTGGGAGGGGAGAAAAGTGCAACAATGAATGAATGGAAATCCTCTCTGTAAATTTTTACCGAAATTAATAATAAATTTAATTTTTTTTTTAAAATCTATCATTAAGAGAAACACGGACAATCTCTTCCCATGTGATTTAGCGCCTCAGAAGTCCAATGGAGGGGTAGCTAGGAATTGGTTCTGACTCCACAGTCCAGAGTTTGAGTTCTCAAGAGGCTCATGGTGACCCAATGGGTCTCAGTGGGGCAGGGAAGTGAAGTGGGCAGGAGGAAACATGTGAACAAAGAAAGGGTGGGGTGGCCTTATATAGATCTAGCCCTATCTCACTATCTCAGGAAAAGTGACCTCTGTGGATGCCTCCTAGTGAAGCCTGGCCAAATCCCTGTCCTTCCCACATCCTTCTCAATCCCCTCTCCCAGGAAGGTCCTAGACCTCAACTGCCCAGACCCTCCCATCCCTTCATCATGCCCCTCCCCCATCTTCCACTCCCTTCCTTCCCTCTCTACACTGAATGCATTATCAGCTGCCTCAGCAGCCTTTCACAAGCCACAGCCTCCTGGCCGGGCTCCCCCAGCCTCATCAACCACAACAGGCTCTTCCCTGGGGACCCAGGCCCTCAGCAATACCTCCTGCTGGCTCTACCTCTGGCCTCTCGGCTCCCAGCCTGAGAAGAGACTGAGCCAGAGACAGAGCCAGGCTGCCCCTATGGGACACAGGAGCTCTCCCACCAGTGCTAGGGGAGCAGAGTGGATTTGAAGGAAATACACGAAGCTGATTCCCCTCAGCTCCTCACGGCTGCCAGAGTGGACGTTGGGACACTGGGCTAAGTCATAATATGAGCTCATCCTCCCATTATCTCTGCCTCAGCCCCCATTTACAGGCAAGGAGAGGGAGGCGCAGAGAGGGGACTTGGTGGCAGTACCGGGAACCGGCCAGGTGGCCTGTTGGCAATGACTCCACATGTTCTTGCTCACCTTGCGTAACTTACTGGTTCTCTTTGTGGCCTGAGATTTCTTCCTCCAGTGATGTCTAGCTCTAGCAGACCACATAGCCACCTATTTCCCTCTGCACACAGTCCTCACTTTTGGGTGCACCAGCCGAACTGGACTTGGGTCATGCATTCCTTCCCTGCACCCTCTCACGCTATGTAGCTGTAAGAAATTACACAACTGACAATCTCACCTAATGGGAGGCCCAAGGGCAGTCTAGAGTGGACCTGGGTGCCTCCTCTCATGCTGGCCAGAGCCCCCAGAAGGCTGAAACCTTGTCATCTCCTTCTAGTCTCAAATCTAGGCTCACCTCAGTCTACTATCCCACACTAGCTGCTCCCTACCACCATTTTCAAATGGCTAATGCTGACAAATAGACTTCCTGTTTCATCAGAACAGGCCATCAGATATAATCTGCAACTTCCAACCCACCAGACACATGTAACACATTTCTCCATGTTCAACTCCTGCCTCCTATCTATCCTGTTCCCTGCCTTCCTCACCTCCTCGGAGAAAAAGTCCCATCCACCCCGACAGCCATTCATCCTCTCACCCATTCACCCATCATCCATTCATTCATCTAATCTATCCATTCCCTTACCTTCTCATATACCCATCCAAGCCATCCACTCTCCCATTCATCCAGTGATCCACTTATTTAATCCATCCATTCATCCATCTACCCATCCACTCACCCTCCTACCTATCCACTCAATCTCTGTACACCCACACTACCTACCTATTATCTCCGACCCTGTCATCCATCCACCCACCCACTTATCCACCACCCATCCATCCACCCATCCAATCATTCATCTGTTCACTTAATACTTCTACTTACCCACCTATCCATCCACCCTTTTACCTTCCCACCTATGCAGCCATCCACTCATCAGTCTATCCATTCACCTGTCCATCTACTTGTCCAGTTTACTCACCCATCTACCCATCCATTCACTCTACCTATTTACTCACCCAATAAGCATTTCTTCTAAACCTGTTTATCTACTTTCCCATCCCTCCAATCCCGCCAGCCACCAATTCATTCAGCTACCCATCCATCCACTCACCATCCATTTGTCCAGCCTTCCTCCCAATAACATTCATTCATCCATCTATCCATTTCTCTCTCCTTTATCCACTACCACATTCTTTCTATTGGCTCATCCAGCACCCCACAGGGTTCAAGACACCCTCATCCTAAAACACTGCTTGGACTGCCTCCTGTCCCTCTCCCACCCACACACCTATCTCCCTCTCCTCCTTCCACTGCCAAGTTCTAGGATCCTGTAAGCTCAGTCTTCACTTCCTCTCATTCCTAACGCCATTGTGGTCTGATTCTTCCCCATCCACCGAGCCTACAGGCATTAAGGTCATCGAGCCTCCTTGTGACCAAATCCAGGCCTGTGTCACTTACTGGATCTGTTTCTGCTCTCGCTACTACTGACCACATCCTCCTTCTCTCTTGCTTCTGATCCCCATTCACGTTGGTCTTTTTCTGTCTCAGCTGACTTCTCTGCTACTGCTGTCATCTCCTTCAATTGCAGGGTTCCCCATAGCTCTGAACAGTCCACAATCCCCCCGCCTCCACCCCCAGGAACCGTGGGAGCCCCATCTGTCTCTGTTTCAGAAATCTGCAACCAGGCTAGGCCCTGATAATTTCTGTCAGGCCAGGTGAATTACTCATTGACTCAAAACCCCAGCTTATAAAAAAAAAAATTAAAAAAAAAAATACTGCCATCATCCCCTTCTCAGATGGGAAAACTGAAGCCATTTAGGTTAAGTAAGTCACTTAACAAGCAGAAGCTCTGCCTTACAGAACAGCTTCAAACTCCACATTTTCATGCCAGTGCCCCTCCAGGGTCTGGTCTCTAGTGTCTCCACTGCCTCTTCACCCAGGTCGTTCCCTTTCACCCCAAAGTCCACAGCTAACAAGTAGGTGAGACAGGGCTGGCCTGCCTCCCACCAGAACGGAGCAAATCTTCAGTCACTGGGTCCAGCTGCTGGCAATTCCACCAGCTTCAGGAAGAACTGTGCTCTACAGAGCTGGAGTCCACCATGCCCTTCTGTTGAGTGGGTTTGGACCACCACTTAGCAGTCCTTTGTGGCACCGTGGGACCAAGGCCCCTTCCCTCCAGATGGGACTAGATTTGGGGCTGCTTATGCTCTCCTCCGCTGAGACAACTGCTCTGTCCTCTCTGTTTCCTTGCCTCTGAGAACACACCCAAGAAATCATTTGTAGTGAGCTCTGGTGACCTAGTGGCAAGAAGCTGCACTGCAATCTCAGATGTGTGCAGTTCAAATCCTCCAGATGCTGTGCTGGAGGAGGGACAATCTCCTCTTGTACCAGTCAGATACGATTTGATGGTACACAGAAAAAATAATTTTAAGAAAACAATAAATTTTTTTAAAACCCTCTATTTTCATGAGTTTCCACCATGCTTTTGGGGAACCTGATGTCCCACTGCCTGTGCACCATCTGTGCTAACATCCACAACGTGGACCAGCACTCGTCACTGCCTTTCCCAAACCCATTCAATCCAGCCGCATTTGCAGGACACCATCCTACAGGGTGTAAGTGGAAGCCCGAACAACATGTGCCCTCCTTCAACTCCCCTGGCCTTATAAGCCAATCAGATTCCAGCCTGTGCTCATCCTAACTTCCCACAGCTCCACCATCCAACCCCTCTTCCCTCCTGAGTCGCTGCTGCTTCTGCATGGCTGCTCATCACTGCTCACTGCAGCTCCTCAAAGCTCATTACTGCTCATCAATGCTCATTGTTGCTCATCAATGCTCATCGTTGTTCATCACTGCTCATCACTGCTCACTGCTGCTCCTCAATGCTTATCACTGCTCATCAATGCTCAAAAATGCTCATCGTTGCTTATCAATGTTCATC